TTGGCAACTTGACCTTGAAAGTACCCTTTGCTCAGCTCGGAAGGCCCAGCCACCAGCCTGCAATGGGTCTAAAATCTGAAAGATGCTAGGCAAGATTTAGCTCGTCGGTCTTCAACAGGGGAGGTATGACTTACCACTGGCTCACGCCTGGACCCCAAGTGGCGTGTGTTATTTCTGTTTGGTTAGTTCCGTTATAGTCTGTCTTTCTCACTGAGATTCAAGGTGGATTGCACAGTTAAAAAACAATAACATGATGATAATATAAAATCATTTAAAAATGCAACCTGGACAGTACACTAGCTATGGATGCCAACCTCCAGGAGGGACTTGGGGATCTCCCAGAATTACAGCTCATCTCCAGACTAGGGAGATCAGTTCCCTTGGAGCAAATGGATGCTTTGGACGGTGGACTCCATGGCACTGTGTCTCACTGAGGTCCCTGTCCTCAGGCCCCAACGTGGAGCTGGCAACCCGAACCCCCCCCCCCACCCCCCTGCCGGTGGCCGGGGGGGAGCTGGCAACCCTATACAGTACAAACGATGCAGTGAAACCCAATTGCAAGGTTGAGAACAGCACGGTATAGAATAATACACAACAAAGAATCTCGCATTTCTTGTTGTTTATACTTTTAGGAGGAGAAATTGAGAATGTATTTATTTACTTCGTGTAAACCTTACCTTCCCCCAAAGCAGCTTACCTCATTCTCCTCTCATCCATTTTATTCTCACCACAACCCGGTGAGGCTGGTTAGGCTGAGAATGTGTGACTGGCCCAAGGTCACCCAGCTAGCTTGCATGGCCCAGTGGGGATCTGAACCTGAGTCTTCCAGATCCCGGCCCAACGTTTTAACCACTACATCACATTGGAGTTGGAAAGGAGGGAAGCATGGGGGATACTAATGACGATGGATGATGAGGATGATGTTGACATGATGGTTATTTATAAAACACATAAAGGACCACACACTTCATAATCATGAAGTTATGAACAAACCCTGCTTACAGGTTTGCAATTGTCTCAGGGGCCAATTCACACATTACGCAGTACACATCACAGACACGTATCAGTCACAAGGTCTTTGTATGAAATGTACATCCAGAGTTCCATGCTCGGAACTCAAGTCCCAAGGCACACGGGGCCCAATTTGGATCAGGACCCTAGTAGGTGTTTCAGCGTTGCTAACTCTGGTTTGGGAAATTCCAGGAGATTTGGGGTGGAGCCTGGGGAGGGTCCTCAGCCGGGCATAATGCCACAGAGTCCCTCCAACCCTCCAAAGCAGCCATTTCCTCCAGGGGAACTGATCTCTGTAGTCTCGGGATCAGTGGTAATACTGAAAGATCTCCAGGCCCCACTCAAGGTTTCAGCCTCCCCCGCACCTGTTTTCTCAATAAGAACGGACTGTGTGTGTGTGTGTGTGTTTCCTATTTGCCTTGTTAGATAAAGTTACGTATAGCCATCAGTACATGTAGGTTTCCCCAGTGGAAAATAGCTGCTCTCTGGGACATGTGAATCAGACCTGAGATGTGAGGGAGAGGGGAGAGGAAGGTAGACATGGGTGACAAAAGGTGATAAGAGGACCCCAAGTCGCAACCTTTTCAGATGAATAGTTTAGCCTGAGGGTAATTTATTTATTTGTTTAATTTATACTCCACCTTTCTCCCGAATAGGGACCCAATACGGCTTATATCATTGTACTTTCCTCCATTTTATCCTCACAACAACCCTGTGAGATAGGATAGGCTGAGAGAGTGTGACTGGCCCCAGGTCACCCAGCGAGCTTCCGTGGCATGAGTGGGGATTCGAACCTCAGTCTTCCAGATACTAGTTCGACAACGACTATACCACACTATTCATTGTCAAAGACCATCCCTGAGGACCACCTCTTTCTAGCTTGAGGACCCTCCCTTTCTTAAAAGAAGCATCTGGAGTATCAATAGGACAGAGTAGGCCCAGCCTCCAGTCAGAGCTTGGCAGGTCAGGCTTACTCTTAGGCCTGCGCAACAGGGAAACTCTACTTACCACAGACTTCCTTTCTTATTGAAAATACTGCACCTTGTCCTGCCTTCTGACACGCAGGAGGCCCCAGAATGACGAAAACGTAAAACAGTGCCAGCAAAACAAAGCCACCGAGGTAGCAGGAGACGAGGCCCAAGGTACCAGTCAGAGTCATCAGCAGTGAAATTCCTAAGCCCAAGAGTCACCAAGCCCAAGCAACCACAGTTTAAAGCCCTTGAAAAAAGGGCTGTTTTCAGCAGCCATTAACAAGGAGGGGGCCAGGCAGGCCTCTCTTGACCAGATAGTTCAAAGCCAGCTTTCACAAAACCCACTCTCTGGTCATAGGCTTGCCAAGTCCCCCCGGAGGGGGCGGGGAAACTCCCACCCCAGAGGCCTGTTCCCCGCCGCTGGCGGATCGGGCCCCGGGGGGAACTCCACCCTGACGTGCACGTCACCTGAGGGAAAACTCTATGGTTTTTCCTCAGATGGTCGAGGCCCCGCCCCCAGCGTGCCCGCATCACTTCCGGGTGACATGGATGCAGCGGGCGCGCTCTCCAGCCGCAAGCCGGGAGTCCCCCGTTGCGGCTCAATTCTCACTTGGCAACCCTATCTGGTCACCATCCACCCCACTTGTCTCTCCGTCCTGTGCCTAGCCTCATCATCCAGTGGGGCTGCCAACCTCCAGGTGTTGGCTGGAGATTTGGGATTGCAGCTGATCTCCAGCCAGCAGAGATCAGTTCACCCGGAGAAAATGGCCGCCTTGGAAGGTGGACTCTGGGGCATTGTACTCCACTGAAGTCCCTCCCCTCCCCAAACCCCGCCCTCCTCAGGTTCCATCCCTCAAATCTCCAGGTATTCCCCAACCCAGAGCTGGCAGCCCGATCTATCTTCCGTGGATGTGGCAGGAACTAGGCCCAAGGAGAAGCTTCATTCCAGGGCTGAATCCCAAGCAGATCCTGAATGTCACTTTGGGCAATCTGTTCAGATTTGGGGAGGGGGGTAGATGAGGTCATACAACTGAAGCGCAGAACTTCCCATTTTAGAGGACTGCTGTCTGCCCCATTCTGCCGATACACCTTTCAGCTTCACTGTCACTGCGACGAACTGATCTGTCTCCATGATGAGATTCCCCCTGACAGTACCTTGCCCACAGGAGTCATCACATACCCATTACAGCATGTTTTAGGAAGGAACTGCACAGATACCTGTCAGGAACACGTTAGATCTACACTTTAGGCATATATATAAAATGTATGAACTCCTTCGTTTTGAGCACAGTCCTTCTCTTAACTCTTTCCAATCCACCAGCTTTCTTCCTACCCAATACAGACTGCAATTTAGGCAAGGTGGCGGCAGCAGCAGAAGAGGAGGAGGAGGAGGAGGAGGAGGAGATTGGATTTATACCCCGCCCTTCACTACCTGGAGGAGTCTCAGAGCAGCTTACAATCCCTTTTCGTTCCCCTCCCCACAACAGACACCCTGTGAGGTAGGTGGGGCTGAGAGAGCTCTTTTGAGAACTCCTCTTTTGAGAACTGCCCTTGAGAGCTCTGAGAGAACTTGTGACTGACCCAAGGTCATACCAGCAGCTGCATGTGAAGGAGTGGGGAATCAAACCTGGTTCTCCCAGATCAGAGTCCATGCTCTTAACCACTGCACCAAGAGGTAGTGGTTTGACGGTGAGGTGCCTTCCTGCATTTTCCAGCAGTATTCAGCAGCATCCTTTATGGAGAGCCTGATCTCATCAGATCTCGGAAGCTAAGCGGGGGCAGCCCTGGTGAGTATTTGAATGGGAGACCACCAAGGACGTCCAGGGTTGCTTTGCAGAGGCAGGCAATGGCAAACCACCTGGGCCTTAGACTTCCCCCCACTCAAGTCATAGCCAAGTTAGGGTGACCCCTTAGAGTTTTTGAGGCAGAGGCGGTTTGCCATTGACTGGCTCCATGTCATGACTCTGGGCTTCCTTGGTGGTCTCCCATCCAAATACTAACCAGATCCAGCCCTGTTTAGCTTCCGAGATCTGATGAGATTGGGCTAGGCTGGGCTATCCAGGCCAGGGCATGCCTTAGACTAGAAGGAAGTCAATGGCAAGTCACTTTCCTGCTTTCCCTCAAACAACAAATTCAGCTACCATGGACTGCTGGATCAAGCCCATATGCCTGCTTCTGGCCTGAAATCTCAGATCCACTCTAACTTCTTGGGCCAGCAGAATAAACAGTGGGGGGCAGAAATGATGTGAGCAAAAGGATAACATCACGTCCAGGTAAAAACCAAGACATGACACCAAACGTCAGTTGATGCTCTAGAAACTCTATGGTAACACCATATAGCAGGAGTGTCAAACATACAAGCCAGGGGCTGGGACCGGCATCTCCAGGGCTCTTACCCAGCCCACGAACAACTGGTGTCAGGGAGGGAAGGCAGGAGGCTGCTGGGGGGGGGAGTGGGCAAGCAGGCACACATGGTCAAGTATGTGTGTGGTTGAAGCTGTCAAGAAACAGAAAGGAACTAGCTAGGGAATGCCAAACCAGCATTCCGCAAGAGTAAAATGAACTGAATGAGCAGAATAAATAATATAGATTGCACAGTGGCGTGATTGGCATGTCTAAGTCGATGACTCCCACATGTGGGGAAAGCCGCCCCAAAGTAACCTGGGAACCGGCTCCCCAAAAGTGAGAGTCCTTCTCGCCCGCCATTTCCCTGCCTATGTCTGAACATCTCGCATCGCTGCGATTCACTTTGCTTCCACACAGTATTGCAACAGAAGACGACTTCATTGTCAACATTTAAACCTCCCCCCTCCCCAAAAAGTAAAGGAAAAGGAGAAAAAATACCTCTATTTCAAGCTCACAGATTACTTTGGGTCCCAGAGGAAAGAGAAGCAATTTAGTGGCGGCTGGCCTTCCCCAGGAAAAGGTTAGGAGATTAAGAGACCAACCGCTGTTTGGATAAGTGGTTGGTAATTGCACACCCCAGCAATTACGTCTTGCCGTGTTTCTCCCTCTTACCTTTTTCTTCCCTCGCGTGCCATCAGGGTTTAGTCGAAATGTCCCTGAATTCACAGTCCTCTTTGGACCGATTTTCTTAATATCGTACGTCAGCTCGTCCGCAAGGGCCTTGCAAGCTGCAGTGAAGAAAACACAAAAATAGAAATGGACACATCATCACCGCCACCGAAATCACACCAGAAAACACGGGACGCGCATTTTGCAGAGGGCCAGTTAGGTCCCAGCCAAATGGCAGGTTCTTATGTTCTCAGTTTTGGGTCATAGCAACTGGGGGAGTGGGGCCCTCTCATGCCCCATGGAGGAAGGGACAGCTGCCTAGACTACAGGGACTGTAGCACGGGGAGAGAAGAGTTTTGTCCAGATATGAGACCACACAGATTCTTTCTTCAAGAGGAGAGCTTTATTAGGCACCTGTTCTTAGCTTAACACCAAGGTGTTATAAAAAAGCCAGACCCCAAGCTTTGCAGTCACAAAAGTTATATACAAGTTTTAATCATACGTCACAAGCATCAAGCAGTGGAAAGTTTTTAACCATATACCAACACCTTCCTTATCAAAGGAGACATCTTGGATGTGCATTCTCTTTTGCTTGCGGTTACAACTGCTTATGCTTTGCATCTGTGAAGCTTAGCCACAGACACAAGTAGGACAGAGATAACAACAGTTAGCTAAACAGATCACGCTTTGCAGAGGAAAAGGCCTTTAGGGGAAATTCAAAACCACAAGCCTTTAGGTGAAAAACAACAGGAAAAGGTGGGGGTCAGAGTATCCAGAGTCAGTATGTTTAAGGCCTGAAAACTTCTGAAAACCTTGTTTGAGACATGAGACAGGGCTACTTGGATTATTAAAGTAGTATTTTTAATATTTTGCTTCAGGACCACTCTGATCCCAGTACTAGAGTTGGAAGGGCCTTTCTAAGGGCCTATCTAGTCCAACCCTCCGTGCAAGAGATCCAAAGGGAGAGTATCCTTCACAGATGGCAGTCCAGCCTCTGCTCGAAGGCCGTTAGAAAAGGAGAACTTGTTAGAAGAAACAAACTGTGCAATGTCGCTTAATGCTAGTACAGACTTTGGTGTCTCCAGGGAGGGCAATAGAGAGCTGGCATAGGGGTAGATGCCCATTCCTTTGTCCACTCCTGCAGTTGTCCCTGTTACCCAGAATGCTCCTCGCAAGGCTTCCTTCCTTCCCATCACTTCCCTTCTCCCTCTGTACATCAAGTGGGCTGGACATACTTTCTACAATCTCCCTCCATCCTAGCTGAGATAGACAGCTAGAAACCTCTACTCTGCCTTTCCTATCCAGTACGGAGTTCTCTCACAATAAAGAACTTATATTTCTTTTCTACGTAATAAACCTACATGTGAACTTGGGTTGCCAACTTCCAGGTGGGAGCTGGAGAGCCCCTGGAATTACAACTGATCTCCAGACCACAGAGATCAGTTCCCCTGGAGAAAATGGCTGCTTTGGAGGGTGGACTTTATGTAGGGTTACCAGGTCTGGGCTGGAAAGTTCCTGGAGTCTTTGGGGGTGGATCCGGGAGAAGGAGGGGCCTGGGGAGGGGCCTCAGCAGGGTACAGTGCCACGGAGTCCACCCTTCAAAGCAGCCATTTTCTCCAGGGGAGCAGATCTCTGTCAGCTAGAGATAAGTTGTAAAAGTGGGAGGTCTCCAGGCCCCACCTGGAGACTGGCAAACTTAACTTCATGGCATTATACCCCCACTGAGGTCCCCAAACCCTGCCCTCCTGAGGTACCACTCCCCCAACCTCCAGGAATTTCCCAACCGTGACCCAGCGACCTTACTCCCATCCCAAAACCCCACTCTCTGATGCCTCCTTCCTCCTTTTCTCTGTTTGAGATTCTCAGACTCCTCAGTCTATGCAGGTGGTGGTGGCTGAATGAAAGGGGAGAATTCTGGACTCCCCTGCTTCACACTGCTGCCGGGTCATGTTTTTGACTGCTCCCAGGTAAACGGAAATGCCCTGGCTGTAGTAAACCAGCCTCATAGGCCCAGTTTCATCTAGCATTTGCTCCGTTGTTTTACCAAACCCACACTGGGACAGAAAAAGATGCAGCTCAAAACCATATTCAGATACCCCAGGCCAACGCCGTACTGACTGCAGAGCAATGCTCCCTCTAAGTTTGCTGTAGTGGTTAAGTGCGCGGACTCTAATCTGGGAGAACCGGGTTTGATTCCCCACTCCTCCACTTGCACCTGGCTGGATGACCTTGGGCAAGCCATAGTGCTGACACAGCTGTTCTTGAAAAAAGAGCAGCTTCTGTCAGAGCTCTCTCAGCCCACCCACCGGTTTGTTGTGGGGAGGGGAAGGGAAAGGACTTTGTAAGCCGCTCTGAGACTCCCTTGGGTGGTGAAGGGCGGGGTATAAATCCAATCTCTTCTTCTTCTTCTAAGTTGTGGAGTCTTGTGAGCAGAAATTCTACTTTGGGAGCGACTGGCATTAAAGTTGTGAGCGAGCGATTTGGCTGCTGCATAAATTAGTTTGCGCTGGAGCCATCCTTCCTGAGTTAAGACAAAAATGTGTGAGTCAGAGGCTAAAAAACTGTGAGCTAGCTTACACTAACTCAGGTTAGAGGGAACACTGCTGCAAAGTCACCCCTGAACGGCCATAAAGCGGCCATATATCTATGCAGACAGTACCATAAAACAGAGATCAAAGGAAGGGAAACCGGCATGCAGTGTGGAGGCTAGTATAAAATCCAACAAACAAAGAAAGTGAAAGTGGCATGCAATGTAGAGGGAGATTTCTGTTCCATTGTGGGTTTGGTAAAGCAGCGGAACGAATGCTAGATGCAGAATGGGCCACAGATTCAAAGAATGAAAGTTCAGCAGAGCCTTTTTTATTTCTATTTATTTATTTATTATCAGATTTATACCCCACCCTCCCCGCAAAGCGGGCCTTTTCCTTAGCGTGATAGCCTACTATCCATAGGAAAGTATTCAGAAATGGGATGGCCTGCCCACAGTGTGAAATGAATCAGGTGTAAGCTAGACACTTATGTTTTCCGCAACACTTTATCTGTAAACCGAAAGCACCCTAGGGAAGCCGTGAGTCTGAAAGGAGCAAATGTCGGGGGGGGGGGGCTTCATCCGTCCCGTCACTTGGAAGAAGAACCATGGCTCAGTGGCATACTTTGCTTTCAAAGTTCTGCAAGTCAGTCCCTGACACCTCCAGTCAAAGAGGATCTCCAGTAGGAGATGATGTGCCAGAGATTTATTTATTTTTTTGTAACTGAGATCTAGGAGAGCTCCTGCCATGTTCACTCCCCCCCTTTCGAAATCCTTTTCTAATGCCACAGAGAAAAATACAGTGACCTGCATATCCCCCCTCCCCCATGGGGAGTAGAACAGCTGGGAGAGGCAGGATTCTGAGCAGACAGAAGAAGAAGAAGAAGAAGAAGAAGAAGAAGAAGAAGAAGAAGAAGAAGAAGAAGAAGAAGAAATTTGGTTTTATATCCTTCTCTTCACTATCTGAAGCAGTCTCAGAGCAGCTCACAATCACCTTCCCTTCCTCTCCCCACAACAGACACCTTGTGAGGTAGGAGGGGCTGAGAGAGCTCAGAGAGAACTGTGACTGACCCAAGGTCACCCAGCTGGCTTTATGTGGAGCAGTGGGGAATCAAACCCGATTCTCCAGATTCGAATCCACCACTCTTAACCAATGCTCCCTCTAAGCTGTGGAGTCGTGTGAGCAAAAATTCTACTTTGTGAGCTGCTGGCATTAAAGTTGTGAGTAAGGCATTTGGCTTCTGCATAAATCAGTTTGCTCTAGAGCCACCCTTCCTGAGCTAAGACAAAAATGTGTGAGCCGGAGGCTAAAAAGCTGTGAGCTAGCTCGCACTAACTCAGCTTAGAGGGAACACTGCTCTTAACCACTACAGGAAGGAAAGAGGTTAAGCAAGCTCTCCAGTCTTCTGTTTGGCATCCCTATCTCATGGTCATTTCTCATATTCTTCGACCCTGTGATCCAAGAGCATTTTCACAACCCAGCTTTGGAAGAGACAACGGGGTGACTGTAAATTGGCTGTGACTTGACGGCGCTTTGCACACAGACGTTGGGCATGGTCCCCTTTTAAATTATGGCTGCAATCACACACATGAAATAATCCACTTTCAATGCACTTTCCAACTGGATTTTACTGTGTGAACTGGCAACATCCAGTTGGAAAGTGGATCAAAAGTGGATTATTTGGTGTGTGTGATCGCAGCCTATCGCAGCCCACTGAAACAGACTCAGCAGATTTTATTTGTGGTTGACTTTGAAATGCCACTGAATTAATCTGAGTTCTAAATCGCAACGAGGGAACACTCATCCCTTGATGAACTGGGTTTACTGGTACAGTTTTGCACGGCATTTGGCACCTAAACGCAATTTCCTGAGTGTTGCATGAATCCAGCCAGCTATTGCTTCAGTATTGCACGGACATTAGGAAGGCGCCGTTGCCTTTGGACACCCTTTCCTGTTCCACCTTGAAGAGTACCCTTCTGCGGAACAGCTGAACCCGTTTGGGAGGAAAAGCTGAACCCGTTTGGGAGGAATACAAGACCAGAAGCATCAGTGACCACTGCTGCTCAGCGTGTAGTTAGGTCCGGCTACCTGATCAAACAGAGCTAAGTGCCAACAGCAAAGGGACTACGTCTCTGTAACAGGACACAGGATCAGTACGTTTAGCACAGGACTGGCCTTTTCTGTCAGTCGGGCTTGAACGTTTGTTCCCGTCCAGCTTTAAAATTAATTAAGGCGGGAGCAGGCGGTCTAGAAGGGCTGATAAAGCTGTGAAATTTGCCATTGAAATCCTCTTTCAACCCCTGCCAAGGAGTTGCATGGAAACCGGGAATGATTCAGAAAGGTTGAGAGGAGGCCAAAGAGCCAGTAATTGAATAATCCGGCCCAGAGAGGAAGCTGAAGTGGAGGCAAGAATAGCTCTTGCATCCTGACCAGTTCGCACTGACTGAGGCCTGGAAAGAAATATACTCAAATCACAGGGTTATTCCTCAAAATAGAGCCAGCAGTTCACCCAGTTGTCATCCAGAATGGAAGATAATTACCCAGATGTCTGACTCACTGCTAAGACCAAATGTGCAGCCCTGTAACCTGCC